GAACTTATTTACACTGTTGAATTTATCTTAATGCTTCCAGCATTTTTAAATGTGCACAATTTTCACCCATAAACATTTTCCAGTCTTCTTTAAAGGTATGTTCTTCTTGCTCTCTTATTTTATATGTTAAATCTGCAAGCTGTGCATATTCCATCATTTTCAGTTGCCATTCTTCTTTGGTTGTGACCTCACTCGTTTTCCATTTTTGGGCTAGCAAAACATGGGCCGCAGTAGTGGCATACATAAATAATCCTTTTTGACACCTGGGAACTTCCCTCTGAATTATTCCCAACAAAAAGGACTTTGGGATGTTGTTTTTTGGAAAGGTACTTCAAAACATTTTTTTCATTTATTATATATCATTTCCCAATACTCTCTTACCCTTTTACAAGTCCACAACTTGGGAAAGTGTTAGCTTACACCACACCACTTTCTGTAAAGTTTTGCAGGCACTGAGACTGGGAGAGGAACTGGACTTAGTTTAGGATTGTAGACTAGGGGCTTCATCCACACTTTCGCTTGCCCCCTGTTTTGATCACATTGTGTGCTAATTCCATTGGGCCCCAGAGCTCTTCACATTGTTCCATGGCTGCACTTTGCAAAAATGCAATCTTTGAAGCAAAATCCCTCTTCAGGTTTTCCGCACGTCTGATAAGATCCAATTCAGTGGGTAAGATCGGATTTCCCCAAGGCATAGCTGCGGTACATGATACAATCAAAATATGGGGCAAGCAAAAATGTGGATGAACCCTAGGTCTGCGTCTTCCTCAGAACCTCTCTTACACTCCTCACCTTTAACACTTTGCTGGCGGTAGGCATATACAGTGGTACCTCAGGTTAAGAACTTAATTTGTTCCGGAGGTTTGTTCTTAACCTGAAACTGTTCTTAACCTGAAGCACCACTTTAGCTAATGGGGCCTCCTGCTGCTGCCACGCCACTGCTGCGCGATTTCTGTTCTCATCCTGAAGCAAAGTTCTCAACCCGAGGCACTATTTCTGGGTTAGCAGAGTCTGTAACCTGAAGCGTTTGTAACCCAAAGCATCTGTAACCCGAGGTACCACTATACTGAGATGATGCTATCCTAGCATTGGCATATACCCCAAATCTGCCAATGCAGAGCGCTTAAACTGGCTCTTTTAAGCCTCCCCAGTCAGTGGGGCACATGGCTGTGCCCTACATGTTGCAGCTTTTATTTCAACCACGACTGATGGCTCTTTAACACATTGATTAAAAAGTACTAAGGTGTGCATCCTTTTTGTTCCTATGACACTTTGGCCACAGAGGGAAATTTACCCTAGCAAAATATGAGAAGGGGAGAGGGGAAATACTATGGGTATTAATCATTTGTGGAATATTAAAACAAGGCATTGCACAGCAGCTGATAATATTAATATTAATATTATTAATATTAATAAAGGAAGTAGTGAATTTAATCATTAGGTTAAGCCTGTAAATTCTTTATAAATCCAATATATATAAGGGGAAAATTCAGAATACCTATTCTTGTCTATGTGATAGAAAGGAAGGATGTGCATTACTGAAGATAAAAAAGACAGAATAACACAGGCTTTTTACTGTTCTGTTCCCATTAATCACCCATTCTTAACCAACTTAATGTCTAGAAATTAGTTGGCTTGTTTTCCTGTTAAGTGATTATTATTATTATTTAACCTAAAAATTATGATCGTAGTGAACTACATTTGAATGACACTTTGACAACTAGATTTATAAATGTAAAAAGAATGTTCAGTTCCTGCAATGACGGAGAACAGAATTTAAAGATTGCAAGGATATTCATCTACAAATAAAAATGTGCATATTTTCACCTTCAAACTAAGAGAGGATTTCATAGAAAATGGAGACAGAAGCCATTAGGCAGGAATTCTGTGCTTAATGGTGTGAGTTAGGTGAGTTCATATGTCTCCTGGCAACCATTCTTCTGATTGCATGAATTGCCTGGGAGATACAATATTGTTGGCACCCATCTGTCTTGAGAGACAATGAAGGAGTGTGCCTTTGGGGGTGAAATCAAACTACTGGAAGGCAGCAGTGCCTGCAGTGGCTGTAGAGACTGATATGGGAGAGACATGTTTTGTTGCTGCTGGGGCAGATGAAAGTGTCCGGTTGTGCTGATGTAGATGCACCATGGCGTTATATTATATATATATATATATATTTGGGGGGTGTATATTCCTCAAAAGGGACGCGGGTGGCGCTGTGGTCTAAACCACAGAGCCTAGGGCTTGCCGATCATAAGGTCGGCGGTTTGAATCCCCACAACAGGGTGAGCCCCTGTTGTTCGGTCCCTGCTCCTGCCAACCTAGCAGTTCAAAAGCACATCAAAGTGCAAGTAGATAAATAGGTACCGCTCCAGGGGGAAGGTAAACGGCGTTTCTGTGCGCTGCTCTGGTTTGCCAGAAGCGGCTTAGTCATGCTGGCCACGTGACCTGGAAGCTGTCTGCGGACAAATGCCGGCTCCCTCGGCCTATAGAGCAAGATGAGTGCGCAACCCCAGAGTCGTCCATGACTGCACCTAACGGTCAGAGGTACCTTTACCTTTATTTCCCTCAAAACTGGGCTTAAATCGAATAAATTATTTGGAGAACACTAACAATTTGATTTATGGATGTTTATTTTTTGTATTCTTCTGTGGACAGGATAATTTTTTATTATGATGGGTGATCCCCCTCCCTACATTGTTTGTTTTAATGGATCAATATTGCATACTGTATCTTGTATATCAAGGCTCCTGTAAATTGTTTTGTCAGGGAGAAGCAATACATGAATCAAATAAAGAATAGAACTGAAATTATCTGGCCTTTAAAGCTGATGGCTTTTCATGGATGTTACTTCTGCATTTGAATGAAGACAGAGTTCTTCATTTTGTCTCAGTTGCTACTGAGGACCAACTGAATTCCATTTGTTTCAGTGGCATTTGTACAGGAAATCACCAGGTGGATTGTGTGATTTGGACCTCTCCTCCTCCTCCTCTAGTCTCCAGATAAGCAGGCATCACCCAATAACCAACAGCGACTCTATAGGCCTTGCTTTCACTAGAGGTTCAAATATGTAGGAAGAAAGCTCTGGTAGTGCTCTATAGAAGGAAAATATGGGTTGTATCTAATGTAAGTCATACTCAGAGTAGACCCATTGAAATTAATGGGCATGACTAACTTAATTGGATGCCACCTTATAATGATCTGGTCTTCTTCCTTCTCTGTCATAAAAAAGGTGATTGTGCAACTGAGGAAAAATCCTCTGTTTCTGGCAATCATTACATAGTTGGAAAATTAACCCAATCACAAGTCTCCTAAGAAAGTGTGTATTAAGGACAAAAAAAAATTGATACGAACTTTAATCGAGTGGGATAATTATTTTCCAGAAACCATGTGGTCTAACTCAGAGGCCTTGGTTGAAGGCGACTGTTGGCTGCCATGAGGTTGCAGAGCAGGGCTGGGGAACCTGCGGCTATGCAGATGTTGGACTACAATTTTGATCATCCTTGACCATTGGCCATGCTGGCTGGGGGCTGATGGGATTTGTAGTCCAACAGTGCCTGGAGGTCCACTGGTTAGCCTTCCCCCATGCTTTAGAGAAGCAGATGGAAAACTTGTTGGGAGAGAAATCCTATTTTGCAGTTCAGTTTCCCAATACTGAGCAGCAGATTCACATGGTTGGGTCTACATTTACTGGTCCACTGATCTGGAAGTGGTCAGAAGGGTGCTGCAACATTCGTCTGGCCAAAGGTGGTCAAGAAAAGATGCTGTCTACATCTCTCCTTCATTTCCTTAGGTACGGGTGCACTTTGACCAAGACCACCACATGGACACACAGACAGTGTGGACTTTGCTTTTCCAGTGCTTTACCTTGGAAATGAAAGGCTGGAAATTTGATTGCTCCATTAGATTTGTTTCTAGGAATCCAAAGCTGGAATAGGAAAGGTGAATGAATGACTAAGCCATTGGTCAGATATTTGGCTCGGCACAAATCTATCGTTTGAATTGCCTGGGTTGATGTGTCTCTGCAGCCAGGCCTTAAAAATGTATAAAGGTGAGGGTTTCATCATACCCTCCAACATTTCTCTGATGAAAATAGGGACATTCCATTTCATAATGATAATTTTACTATTTATACCCCACACATCTTACTGGGTTGTCCCAACCACTCTGGGCAGCTTCCAACATATATAAAAACATAATAAAACATTAAACATTAAAACACTATACAGGATTGCCTTCAGATGGCTTGGGGGTCGAATAACACCACACTCTCCAGCATTTTTCCAGTGAAAAAAGGGACATCCTAAAGAAAAGCAGGGCATTCCAGGATCAAATCAGAAACCAGGACTGCTTCTCTAAATCAGGGACATCCCTGGAAAATAGGGACACTTGGAGGGTCTGTTTCATGGAGGTTGCTTCTGCATTTGAATGCAGAAATAATTTCAGTTGACTTTGTTGCAGTATACGTGGCTTGATTTGAAACTGATTTCTTGAATTTGAAAAGTGGGACCATGTGCGGTTTTCATAACGTTTTCCATTAGGGTTTTTTCCCCCTTTTCTTTTTCCCAAAGCATCATGTGTCTTCATGGGCAGCTTCCTTCTCTGTGACCTTTTCAGATTGCTCACATCAGAATGAGGGCATCTTCCTGGTAATGCTGTCTGAGCACGGTGTTTTTGATGGCGTGAATGAACATGGAGAGGCAGTTTCAGTGGCTGCCCTACAATGGTGGTACTCTCTTGTCATTTATATGCAGACCTCTCACTAGAAACTGTTTATAACATTGTCTCTTACTTCTTATCATTTGATTTCTTTGCAGGAAGGAAAATGCCTCTACGTAATTCTATTGATGGCCGTATACTGGTGCACCGAAGCTCTGCCCTTGTCTGTGACCGCTCTACTACCCATAATTCTCTTCCCCTTCCTCAGTGTCCTCCCAGCCAGCAAAGTTTGCCCGCAGTATTTTTTAGAAACCAACTTCCTCTTCTTGAGTGGCTTGATCATGGCGGCTGCCATTGAAGAGTGGAATCTGCATCGTAGGATTGCACTGAGAATCCTTATGTTGGTGGGAGTCCAGCCGGCCAGGTAACCAATGAAATAAATGAGCTTGTGCTCAACTTTGGGGCCATCCAGATGCCCTTTTCATTGTCCATTCATGTTCATTTGTCCTCATGGTGCTGTTGGAGTGGTCGCATGGCACCCCACAAAATACTGTCTGCGTCTGCAAAGGTGTTGGGGCAGTCACACTACTTTATTTCCATTCAGTGCACATCCTGTAACTTCCTGCTGAAACTGCATATTTTTTATACCACAAATTCTGGTTTATTTTTATTTACTTCTGCTGCACTATAGCTTCTCTGAACAGCAATTACGCGGTAGCGCTGGGGAAACACCGTAGAGCAAATTAAAGCAGAATAAATCCACCACAAATCACTAGGATTGGGCCTGCCCAAATTGGTATTTTATTGTGGGTGTCTTGCAGCATGTTCTTGACACAATAATCAAGGCTTTTCCTGAAATGGAGTTTTAATGAGAAAGTTAGCTGGAGTGACAATTTAATGGTTAGCAATCGAAGGCTGTCCTGAAGAACTGCTGCTGCCAAGAGGCTGTGTGTTGGATTGCTTCTGCCCTTGGGGATGCAAAAGAGACTGGCATTCCAATGGAAACTGAAAGGCCTTTTGCACAGGTTTGAGAGTTATACCTTTCCTTCCTTGTGCTGTGTCCAAGCATAGGGGAAGGAACTGTTAGAATTCCTGTTCCATGATTGCAGTCATGGGATTTTTGTCTTTCACATGACGGTATATGTTTTGTTTGTTTTTTAAATATTTTTACTGGAATTTCAACAAAACATTTTATCAGAAAACATACCATCCTTAATTCCCCCTATTTCCCCCTCCCCCTCCATATAAAGTAACCCACCCACCCCTCCCCTCCTGACTTTCCTCAGCTCCTCTCTCTGGTTTATCAATAAATGTTATTCTCTGCATGTTACAAAATTGTATAGATCCTTAATTTATCTGACTAGCTTTTGTCAATAAAAAGTTTGTGATTGTTTATTCAAAACCCACCAAGGAGACCAGTTCACTCAGATATGTTTTGACTCCACAGAGTGGGAAGTGATGGAGACAGGATATTTGTGTTACTGTGTTCCGTGAAGTGGGACTATTGTCCTTTGTTCCTTTTCTCTTTGCTGTCTGATGCTAGAGAGAGAGGGAACCATGTTGCAGTGTTCCATGTGTGTTTATATGTAAATAAAGTAGATTAGCCAAAATGCTGAGTTGCTGAGGTCTGTCACGCAAGGTGCACAAATTCTGCGGATCCCTAAGTGTGCTGGTGTCGGTTGGCATCGGTCGCTATGATGTTCGGACTGAAGAAAGCTTTTGAAGCTCCCGAACGATCGACCAGGAATGAGAGAACATGCCAGTCGGGCATGTGGCTCTGCCAGGATCCTACTTGAGTGTAGGCTGAACTCCTGACAGGAACATGGATTTTAGCATTAGGGTAAATTCCAAATGAAGTGACTTCCCTTGGCCTCCATGAGGTTTTTCTAGGTGGGGTCCACCGGACAGGAGTAGGTCAGTTGGGTAGAGCCAACCTCCAAGCAATTGCATCACAGTCACTTACTGGGATGGTGTAAGGGTGGAGCAAAGAGGCTGTAAGGTTAGGAAGTCACAGGTGGACCTACACCATCCCAACCTCTCTAGTGCCCTGCCCCACTCGCACACTCTTCAGGTAAGCAGGAGCAACATTGCTGCCAGGAGGTTGGCTCCACGATCCCATCCTGGCGACCAGCTCTGCTGCAGGTCGTTGTGGGAGTGCAGTCAAAAGGCACCCAAAGCTGATCTCTTCTGGAATCACCCAAAGTTCAGGGATTTGGAGGTTTCAAGAATGGACAGGTGCTCTAAAAGATGGTCAGACTGAATGTCTCCCTTCAGGATCTCATATGGGGAGAGGCTCAGTTGAAGAGCTTACTGAGTTCAGAGCTCCAAAACCACTTATCAAAAGAGCAGGGTACTCAAAGAAGGATGATTTCCATGTTTATGAAAGAAAAGCAGCCGTCTATTTTCTGCTTAACAGAAAAGGGTTAAGGAATTTTAGAAGGTTGTTGGATAGAAACTAAGTGGTTTCCAGCTGTAATGCTTTAAGAGAAATGAAAAAAGGTTTACAAATGGGTAAAAGCGTAATGGTAAGGATTTGCTGAACTAACAAACTGAACTGGAATACAAAAAAGGGAGGTACGAGGAGGTCCGAGGAAATAAGTGTAATCAAGATAGGTTATGGAAAACTAACGTGTTTTTAACTGTTTTTATTTGTATGTTTATTTTTATTTTTCATTTCTTTGCTATATTTTAAAAACTTTATTCTTTTTTCTGTATTTTGTATTTGCTTATATTTTTACTTTTTGCTTAATTTTTGTATTCCTTGAAACTTTAATAAATATTATTTAAAAAACAAACAAACAGAAAAGGGGGTCTGCTAGACTTTAGGTGGGGTTTGAAAAGGCTCCTCATAGTTATTCGATAAATGATACTGTGGTACGTTGATTAATTTAGGAATTTGCTTGTTTGTTTAGTAGCTTACTAGCTGACCTCCCAGACAAAATGTAGCCTTTCGAGCCATGGGAGGAAACAAAATGGCAGCCAAGTAGTGTTCTCCATCAGCAGGCAACTTGCTATCAACTATTAAAACTGATCTGCCATGGTTAAGGTTGCCATATTTCAAACAGTGAAAATCCAGACAGAAAAGTTGTTGAGTTTTTCCTTGGGGGGGGAGGGCAAAGTTGTAGGGCTTTTCTTTTTTTAGCAAATTCCAAAAAATAAATGAAGTTTTTGAGCTATTTTTCAGGAAAGTCGACTGCAGTATTCCGGATATGTCTGGGAAATTCCAGACATATGGCAACCCTAGCCTTGCAAGGTTGGACTGAAGATGTACAGACACACCTTGGAAGTCGAATGGAATCCGTTCCGGAAGTCCGTTCGACTTCCAATTCGCCGAAGAGCGTCCTGCAGCCAATTGGAAGCCACAGAAGCCAGATGTTCAGCTTCCGAAAATCACTCGAAAACCAGAAACATTCGAGTTTACAGGCATTCGGCTTCTGAGGTTCCACTGTATATATAAACTCTTTAGCACTCTCTAAATGCACTATGACCATATGCAGGAGGAGGAGGGTTACTTAGACTGGCCTGTGGGGAAATAAATACACCAAAGCTAATCCAGATAGCTTAAGCAATCTGGATAGCTCAAGCGACCTGTGCCTCTTGCACCAGCCTGCTTTGTTTCTATGGTGTTAGATCTGTCCCCCTCCAGCAGCCCAGTCACCTGCTCCGTGGAATTTGCTGATGAATTTGTTCTGGTGGATCCAGATATTTTTCATGATGGCAGTGCTTCTGTCAAAGGCCTGGGTTAGTGAAAGCATAGCCTTTTTTTTTTTTTAAAAAAAAATGATATTTATTAAAGTCTCAGAAAAAAGAATTACATAAAAACAAGAAAAACAAAAATAAAAGACAAAAGTAAAAATACAAGAAAAATACAAAATACAAAATACAGAATAGAAGAATAAAAACACTTAAAAAGGAAAAAAATAGATCAATCTTTCCATGCCTTACATTCATATCCTTGTTTCCCTGACCTCCTCATACCTCCCTTTTTTGTATTCCAATTCAATTAGTTAATTCAGCCATTTCTTTCCCTCTTTATTTTCTCTTAATCCTTTAACTTAATATAGTATAACTTTAAATTTTCACCTGTTATCAATCCATTTTTACATACACCTTTATAGCATTACTGCTTAAACCACTTAACTTCATTCTAACATCATTCTAACATTCATTAATTTTACAATATTTCTGTAGATAGTCTTTAAATTTCTTCCAATCTTCTTTCACCAACTCTTCTCCCTGGTCTCGGATTCTGCCAGTCATTTCCGCCAATTCCATGTAGTCAGTGAAAGCATAGCCTTAAAGGTTGGAGTATGGGCCGGGCAGGCATGCTTTAAAGAAAAAAATCATTCCAAAAGTTCCAAACTTTTTAAACTGCTGAATAGAGAGGAAACATAACTATTTCAGCACTGTGTAATCAGATTAACATTTATCCCAGTTGTACAGGATTGGACTTCTTACAGAATATAACTGAGACAGCTTTGTTCTGATTAATCGTATGAGGCCTCTCTCTCTCTCTCCCTCTCTCTCTCTCTCTCTCTCTCTCTCTCTCTCTCTCTCTCTCTCCAGGCTTATTTTAGGAATGATGCTAACAACTTCCTTCCTGTCCATGTGGCTGAGTAACACAGCCTCCACCGCTATGATGCTACCCATTGCAATGGCTGTTCTGAAGAGCCTCTTTGGAGACAAGGAAACATCTCGGGACCTCAAGAGGGAAAATGAGGAAAGCCAAGGTCAGTCTGGTTGGCTCATTTGGGTGTTGCTAATAAAACATGGCATTTTTGACAAATGTAAAGTCATCTGTTACTGAGGTGTGTTCCAACGGCATCCATAGGACATTCCGCTTGTAAATGCACACGTTGCTGGGGGGAAAATATGCATTTCCCCTATTGCTCAGAACGGCAACTTTGAGTTTGCTGGAGAAATAAGGTTTGCCATCTGCTTTCCCTGTACACCAATAAAGGATATATTTTGTGATAGTCTGTGCCCTGTAGATGGTAGTTGCATAAATGTCACATGCTCCTATTGGATGGTGCTAGTGACATCTCTCTTTTACATCACACCAATAACTCCACCTTGGTTGCGCCATTTTATAAACTTCCTTTATAAATCTAGTCTAGTCTAGTGCCTCCGCTTCCATATTGTGGCAGGGCAGGGCAGTTAACATGCCATGGCTAGTAAGAGCACATCCGTTTCTGAAAGAGTGCTGGTATGGATCCTTTCTCCTATTTTCCAATGTGTCTATCTGTCAGGGAATGGCCAGAAGCAGAGGATTGAGGAATGCATTCTCAGGCAGATCAGTTTCTCTTAGAAGAGGAGCTGGAGGGGGAAGATTCGCCTCCCTTGTTCCAGTGGTCTCAGAAGCAGAGAGAGAAACAGACACGGAACAGATTAGACAGGAGTTACCTAGCTATGAGATAATGACAAGAGAAACAGAAGGGAGGGGACAGAAGAAGAAGAAGAAGAGTTTGGATTTGATATCCCGCCTTTCACTCCCTTTAAGAAGTCTCAAAGCGGCTAACATTCTCCTTTCCCTTCCTCCCCCACAACAAACACTCTGTGAGGTGAGTGGGGCTGAGAGACTTCAGAGAAGTGTGACTAGCTCAAGGTCACCCAGCAGCTGCATGTGGAGGAGCGGAGACGCGAACCCGGTTCCCCAGATTACGAGACTACCGCTCTTAACCACTACACCACACTGGCTCCCCAGATAGACAGATAGCAGAGACGCCATTAGAGAGTGTGGGGGACTCTCCCTCCCTATGAACTAGGAGATCCAAATGTATTAGAGAACAAAGGATACAGAGAGGAGGAGGGACTTTCCATTGGTGCCTAGGATGTTGTACAAGACAGAAGGGGGAAGAATTAGAGTAGCCAACTGCTCTCCTTGTGGAGGGACGTGGATTTTTGCTTGCAACCTGATGCCTGAATAAAAAGGACCATAAAAGATAAACTGCTCATTAATTCTAATCTGTGAAGTTACTGAAAGGGGAGGCAGACTCCCCACGCATGACACTGTCCCTCCTTTCCTTTCCAGGCCCATCTCTGTCCACAATTTCCTTTACTGAGGCATGCGTTAACCCATGCCCTCTCCCACAATAGACATGAAGGCAGGTGGACTTATCTCTTATCTTAGCCCTGTAGCACTTGGATCAGAGATAGGAGATTCCTCTAAGTGTTCCACACCTGACGTCATATGGCATCAGGTGATAGGCAGGAGTGTGCAGTTTACCCAAAACATGCACATGGGCCAAATTAGGCCTGCATGACAAGTTCTCCATCATACCAACTTGACCACCACCTAAATGTGAATGGTTTCAGTCTGAAGGGGGAAAGGAGGCATGCTATGTGTGTGCATCTGAATTCTTTCTTGTCCTTTTAATCCCTTCCCTTTTTTCATGGTTGTCATGGAACTGAGACACATTTGCGTTGCTTCATTAAGAAATGTCAGTGTTGCTGAATCCCTGAAGTGACAATGCAGAAGTCACTGGTCCACTGAACAGTATTAAAACCTGATACAACAGAGCAAACGAGTTCACAGACTTCGACCGCTGGGTGCGTTCCTTGTAATGTTCTATCCGTCTTAATGTGGGGAAATGGGTAAGAGGAGGGCAGCATTTCCAAATGGCAATTTTTCCATTCGGAACAGCAAGCACCCCAGTGCTTAATGATCCCCATCCTCAGCTTCTGCTGAAAACACAATAATATAATAAAGTTTTAAAGGAGGCAAGATCAGACATTTCATCAAGCAAGCGAAACATTTTATCAGTAAATAAAACTAGCTGATTTTTCTGGAATCAAGAGAAAAAACAAACTCCAAAGTAATCTTTTAGTTAATTAGGAATCATGAAAAATCCAAATACAGCACTTTACTGAAAGCGGCTCTGATTTTATGATGCTGATTTGCTTATTTTGTTTTAAATGTTGATTGTTGATTTTATTGTTTGCCACCCTGCGACTTTTGAGTGAACAGTGAACAACAAATACTTCAAATAAATAGACTTCCCGGGATTTCCAATCTCATCACTTTTTAGGGAGTTATTCCTTTGTAGCAGACATGCACACTTTATATAACTTATAAAAAATGCAGTTAGTGTTGCGCCATTAGAAAGAAATCCAAAGTGTCACAAAGCAATGACATTTACAGAATGGTAGACATTAACTGGATAGCTATAGATGTATATAATGTTTTGGTACATTGCTCAGGTACTGCTTTCTCAGTTTGATAAGGGAACAGGGTGAGTCAGAGAGTTGGACGCACCAGCAATTCCTTTCAGCAGCTTATTCTTCTACTTTGAGCCACAACATAGAAATATTTGGGCTGATTTATCACTCTGCTGCCTTTGGCTATGAAACCTTTCTGTAGGCTTAACCTGTGTTTATGTTAAGACAGCTTTAAGCTGGTAGATCTTTCCGTGCTTCCCAGAAGTGCACACTAAACTCTACCCTTCACTGGACCAATTAATTGTTTAATTAATTGTGAAGTCTTGGAAACTCCAGCTGATCAGTGCAGAATGAGAGACTCAAGAGTGACTCACATGTGTGCGAAGCTACGGCACCAAATGGGTGATTTGGATGCATAAATTAGCCTTTTCGAAGGAGGTGTCAGCAAGATGCCTTGAGATTGTACTTTTACCAATCCTGCCAATTGGAAGCAAGTCCTACTGGTGCATATTCTGGCTGTTGGCAGACATACCCGTTCCCCACTTTTTATTCTGCTGTTGTAACTCAACTATGCTGGGATATTTAACTGTTATGATTTAGGAATAGTAGCACCACCTTCTGTCATTATGACTCTGGAAATGTTTCTCTGTATTTTTAAAAGCTCTTTGGGTATTATTCTTTTTCAGCCTCTGTACATCAGAACAAACTCCACACAGTGCCAACTGAGATGCAGCTTCTAGCAAATGTTGATGAGTAAGTTTACGCAAAGCTTTGCATTGGAGAGGAGGACGGTGATACCAAAGTATTCTTCCTCTGTTTCATGAGTATGAACTAAGGCTGTTTACCTAGGAGTAAAGCCCTATTTAACTTCTTCCTGCTTATGTCACTTGCTGCATTCCACCCATGCTCCAAGGAAGCTATAGCGTTGCGTTAGCATTGCACTAAATTGTAACTATATTGAGTTTATGTCAAGGGACTAAGTTCAATATTGGCTGCACTCAGACCTACCATAATTGGAGGCCTTGAAATCTGACTTGCCAGTAAAAACTGCTAGGCCAGGGACAGAGCCTTTTCAGCAATTGCTGCAAGTCTTTGGAAATACACTTGGCCTGGTCTCTGAGAGATATTTGAAAGCATGGCTTTTTTATATTTATGGATTGTGGTTTTGATGTTTCTATGTGTTTCAAAACTTCTTCTTTTTTTGCAAACCACCTTCAGAAGGTTGTGTGCCCTGATAGGTGCGTTTGGATATTATTTTAATAAGGAATAGCAGAATCACATGGTGTCTACTTGAAAGTAAGACCCACTAAAGCCAGGGGCACTTATTCTAAGGTTACCAGACATCCCTGTTTCTCGGGGACAGTCCCCGGATTTACAAATCAGTCCCCATACAAAATCCATTGAAGTTGAAAAGTGTCCACGGATTCATTGAAAAAAATCTGGTAACCTTAATTTATTCCCTCGTAACTGGGCTTAGGATTGCAGCTTGATTAATAAATAAAACTATGGTTTAGTGCTGCATGAATGGGTTTTAGACTTGTGCCTGCCCCCTCCCATCTCCCATCTTCTGGCGTGGCTGTGAGGAGGAAAATGAACATAATTGTTTTCAACTAGCTGTTTTAACTATGGCTTGTCTGAACAAGTAAAGATCATGCAGTACATTATAGTCCTGGCTTGTTTGGATATAGTATAACTCAAATAACCCCAGTTCCTGGTTCAGAAGTAACTCAAACTTTGGTTAGTTGAAAACAGAAGCAAGTGTTTTTGATGTTGTTGCCATGCCAGAAGAGAGGGGAAGTGGGGAGCAGACACGTCAATGTAACACTAGATTATTATTTAGAGTCATGTCCAAATGAGGCCATGGTCTACTGTGGCAATGATTCTCCTAGCTCTCAAGGTGAGGCCTTTACTAGTCATGCTGCTTTTAAGCATAAATGATCCTGGAAACTCAGCAAACTAAGTATGTGGTCTGCCTCCAAGTTTTGGCCCCTCCCCAAGTCCATCCTACTTTAGGATGCCTAGATTACCTTTCACAGATGGATCAAAGAGAGAATCTGGGTAGATGCAGCTCATTCTGCAGAGGAGAGAGAAACAGTACCTGTTGTAGATCCTGTTCCATCAACTGAAGACCAATGAGTCCCCTTGCCAAATTATTTGGCAGATGAGGGGAGGGGGGAATCAATCAGATACAGAAGCAAAAGCAAACAAATGAGCCCTAAGTTATATGAGAAATGACAAATGTCAAGAGTTGCCTTTTGTAATGTTTTAAAGAAAAGACTTGACAGAGGAGAAGGAAGTCACAATTGAAGTTTCCTCAGACATACAGAAGGAGGAAGAGCACAAGAAGAATGTATGGAAAGGCTTCCTCATTTCGATCCCTTATGCAGCCAGTATTGGTGGGACAGCGACGCTGACAGGAACTGCCCCAAATCTCATTCTTTCAGGACAACTCAAAAGGTATGGAGGGAAAGGGCTTGTGAGGAACTGAACATGCTGGTGTTGACAATGGATGTACATGGGGATTTCCCAAGGTTATGGAGTCAAGAACTGCACATGACTCTGAACTAGTAAAAATGTGACTCCTAGGCAAGGACAAAGAAGGATGAGATCTTTGTGACCATAGTTGTCCCTTTCATATAACACAGACAGATTATCTTCTGCACCCCCTTCGGGAGTCCGTGAGCTGCAGAAAGTGACAATGGTAGCCTCTAGATGTGGTCTTGAATCACAACCGAGATGTTTGTATGACATGCTGGCCTTGGTTGCATATTTCAGATTCTTTCTTCAGTTTATCCAAATGGGTTTCTCCACCTTACATTAATCAGGTTTTCTCCTTCTCAAAGCTTTTTTCCAGGGTGTGACGTTGTGAATTTTGGCTCTTGGTTTGTGTTTGCCTTTCCCTTAATGCTGCTGTTCCTTCTTTTCGGATGGCTCTGGATCTCATTCCTTTATGGATGCATTAGCTTGAGGTACTTTCATGTCTGATTTATTTGTATCGTTTAACATTGATTGAAATTGTGGTCAAGGTAACCAGTTTAGCTGGGTCCTTATTGGAAATCTGATGGTTTTATGAGGGACCTATCCTTTTTTTGACTTGGGAACACCCCTGTCTTTCAGGTGTACATGTACTCTCTTGTTGCACAAGAAAAACTATCTGTTCCTGTTTTTCAAAATGCAAATAAATTTTTTAAAAGAAAAAGGAATAAAGAAAAACTAGATGACACAGTGCACTAATGGGGTCATTTCATCAGGGCAAGCATTTTGGCTTGGCAAAATGGGATGTGTCTTTTACAATATTTCATTGACAGGTCCTTCTTTTTTGTTTTTAAAGTTGGGTGAGGCTCTACATGTTACATCTTAATAATTCTATTTTTGCATTTGAAAAATACAATTTGTGACTTTTTTGCTTGGCCACAAAACTCCAGTTTGAAGATAGCTTTTGAAGACACTGTGTTCAGAAACAAAGGTGTTATTTTTAAAGAAAAAATATCCAAGCAGCTCATACTATAAAAACACACTTCTAAAGATAGCTGAATAATAGGGAAACTTCATCACATGCACTAAGGCAGAGCTGATAATAAAATTACTTTCATTTTAATATAAATGACTTAAGATCGCTAATTTATAAAGTTTAAATTTATTAAGCAAAGCAACCGTAGATAATAAAGATCATACAGTTCATAAAAAAGAGGGGAAACATCATAGTACCAACAGTCTATGGGTAAGGCAAAGAGTTTCTTTTAATATCATTTCAATTAGAATTCCAATAATAGTTAAATAATTCGACTTCCAGAACAGCGCACTCTGTGGTGGGTCGGACTTTGAGCTCTGAGCTACTCGAGACAGACTCGGCACCTGGAGACAGCACCATATAGTTAAACTATAGAATGTGCTCCCACAGGAGGTAGAGATGTCTACCAGCTTGGTTGGTTTTAAAAGTGGATTAGACAAATTCATGGAAGATAAGGCTGTCCTCCACCTGCACTGTCAGAGGTTGCATGCCTCTGAATACCACTTGCTGAGAATCATGGATGAGGAGAGCATTGTTGCCCTCAGGTCCTGCTTGCAGGCCTCCCATGGGTTGTCCACTGTGAGAAGGGAATGCTGGATTAGATGGGCCAATAGCTTCAGTGCTGGGTGGTCTAGACAGTTCTCCCACACAGGGTGCTGAGCCGAGGGGGTGCAAAATGGAGACGATCCATACTTGAGAAGATCCATTTGGGGGTGCCAAATTTCAGCTCCATACATGGCGCCATATTACGAAAGACTACCCAAGTCTGGCCCTGAGTAGCTTGATCCAGTAGGACTCTTATGTTCTTATGGGATATTTTGGTGGTCTTCATGAGCACCAGACCTTTGAGGCCCACCCTTTCCCCTTGTGAATTCACATCAGATGCATTCTCTCACAAGAACACGGCAGAGGTGTCCTGACCACTGAGTTGGTGATCTCATTGCCCCAGAAATTTCTCAGCCTTGTCACAAATGACCTTAAGGCAGTGTATATTGGTACAGATTTGTTGAGGTCCACAGAGTTTTGCTAATTTGTTGTAATGAGAGCAGGGTTCAAAGAATAAGAGGTGTTCTGTTGATAATTCTACTAGTTACTGAATTCCTGGGATATTTCGACCTGGCTGTTTTGCACTTGCACCATTCAGGGATTTGTGCATTTCATTGCATGCTATGGGACTTGTGTTCTGTATTTTTCCGGGAATGATTCTTTTTACTGTAGCTGTTACGTAGGTTAAGATATAAAGTCCGTAGCTGGAAATTTGGCCAAGAACAGGTTACATTTGACAGGGATTAAACTTCAGTGATTTCATAAAACAATGTGTTAATCAGTAATTGAGCAGTAACATGGTTTTATTGTAAATCTTTTGCTAATCTGGGTACTTACAACTTGCTTTCCAACTTCGCCATATTCCTTCACTTGCAGTATTTAAAACAAGAAGCATTGCTAGAGTTTGTTTGGGGGTTATTTTTTTGGTGGTGGCTCAGAGATTATGAGCCATTTCTGTTTATTGTGCACTTTACGCTGTTGTTGTTAAAATGCATTTCTGATATCCCATAGCCTTCTTTTAAGCCTGCAGTGCTATAGTAATTCCAACAAATATATGGCTCATTGAAGTGCCATTATTTTTTCCATCAGCGAGATGAATAGCACCTTCAGAGCTACAATTTAATTCAGAAAAGCAATGCAGGGGAATATACTGCTGTTGCATTCAGATTCTGCTTACAGGCTTCCTATAGGTAGCTGGTTGGCCACAGGATTATGAACTAGATGGGTCTTTGGTCTCATCCAGCTGGGCTTTTCTTATAATCTTATGAACGTGTAATAATTGCATTATTTCAAAGTGTACCACTATTAGTAATTTATATAGTACTTTTATTGGTACCGTATTTTTCGCTCTATAGGATGCACCTGACTATAGGATGCACCTAGTTTTAGAGGGGGAGAACAAGAAAAAAAAAATTCTCTCCCTCTCTGCGCAGCACCCCTTCAGTGAAGCAGGAGGAGAAACGGAGTCCCATCCATTTCTCCTCCCGCTTCGCTGAAGGGGCGGTGCGCAGCTCTCCCTCTCTGCACAGTGCCCCTTCAGCGAAGCGAAGCCAGGAGAGCCAGAGGGATCGGGGCACACCGACCCCTCCTGGCTTCAGCGAAAGCAATGTGAAGCCTCCGGAGCGCAGCAGTGCGCACTGACCCCTCTCGCTCTCCAGGCTTCAGCGAAAGCAACGTGAAGCCTTCGCGTTGCTTTCGCTGAAGCCATGGAGCCTGCATTCGCTACATAAGACGCACACACATTTCCCCTTAATTTTTGGAGGGGAAAAAGTGTGTCTTATAGAGCAAAAAATACGGTATGTAAAAATATATATAGTCCATCTTGCTGATCCACTCAGCAGGATATGTAAGTCACTGTCCCCATTTACACATGGCAAACTGAGGTCAAAAGAGAGAGATTTTCCCAAGACTATCCATATAGTTTTACTGATGAGTAGGGATTTGAATTCGGGCCTCATAAGTTAAATTCCAAAACTATGTGCACTGGAGTACTGTGGCTCTCATTTCTGTTCTGTTTGTTGAATTGTTTTGAAAGGAATTGATGCTTAAGGCCTTTTTTTAAAAAAAGGAAAACGGGGTAAGAAAAAACCAAAACCATACATGGCAAATAGATTTTCCCCACGACCTCACTTTTTAAAATCAAAGGCTCAAAGTAGATGCTAGTTTGCCAAAAGAATCAAGCAAGTGACCCTTTCCTTCAGAATTCTGTTCATATGTTTGACTGGTTCGCAAACATTGGGTACACTTTATGATTGATGGAATCAAACTAGCATTGTAGGTTTAATGAAAATCTAAGCAGTGCCAGAAATGTATTAAGCAGCATGACACTGTTAACCTGAAAATAGTTCAAGATGAAATTGTCCTTCATATGGACTCCTAATTGTGTGAGGTGGGTAGAGGAGAAGGGCAGGTCAAAATGCAGATGAGCACTGAAGTTACCTACTAAAAAAGGCTGAGCCTCACATTAGTATTTCAGCCTTTGAGCCTCAAAATTCCTTATGCTTTGTTTCATCATCAGTGGCACATTTTGCATAATTACTCGCTTGTTTTCTGGCTATTCTAATGCCTGAAAAATGGAGCCGTCCTATTTTTTGATGTCCTCTGAATCAGAAACTAGAAACCATTTCCCTAGAGAAATGGCTATCTCTAGAGAGGGTGCATGGAGGCGATGAATTACTGCAGAAGACAGAATGAATTTGCCCTGATTTTTAAGACAAATCATTCCTATGAATGCATGCTCTGGTGGTTCTTTTGTGACTGTGAGAGATGTGTATTTTGCATAATGCCAAGAGGATGAAATTACCTTTGATGACAGGATGAGAATTTGTAAACATAGAATGGGTTATTGTGTTGTGTGAAACTGACCAATAAATAAAAATAGTTAACTGTCTTTCCTAGCAAATGGTCCTAATGTAGTGTACAATTCTAGCTATTTGCTAGTTTAATTTTTTATTGCAGTTTCTTAGTTAGTGGTGGTACATTTTAAGGATGAAACTGAAATCACATTAAGGGCATAAAACTGAAACGTTAAAACCACAAAACAGAGAGTGAAAACTGGAACATTTGAACAGCAGCAAGGAAATTATGCAGCCAAAAGCCCTCCTAAATGTAACAACCTTAAATCCATTTATAAGCTTTCTGCAAGATAGTTTGATTCAGTAATATTTATGAATGAGAGTGCCTGAGGTCGTGTGAACAAAGCATTTTTTCCCTCCCTTGTTGTTGAGCTGGAGAAAAAAGAAATCGGAGATCAGAGCTGAAGCAGAAGCCAGAGCCAGGACAGTAATAAGGGATGATTATCGGAAGCTGGGACCAATAAAGTAAGTCACAATGAAAGCAATACAAGACTCAGTCAACTGTGTTTACACCTGACTGTGGGGTGGAGAAATGGCCTTGGGCAGGGGGAGGCAGAATTTGCTGGGGGAAATTGGTGTGTGTGTCTCTCTCTGTGTGTGAAGGGTTAAGCACCCTCTTCTCCCATCTGCTAATTCTCTCCTACACACACAGAGAGAGGTTATTTCATCAAATTCAGATTTGGGAGCACACATTCACCAAGGTAGCATTTGGCTCCACTGTGTGTGATAATTAAATATGTGTGTGATCTTTCTTTCGTTTGTCTTGTAGTCTGGGGTCAGTTTCCTTAGTTCACGGATGGCTATTCCATGGCCCTCCAGGTATTTATGGATTCCAGTTCCCACCATTCCTCACCATTAGACATGCTGGTCGGGGCTGATAGGGGTTGCAATGCAACAATATCTGGAGGGCAACAGGTTTCCCTGCCTTAGACAACCCCAAAGTTTTGTTTTTCTGCATTTTATCGGTTACCATAGGATAAGCATTTTTCTTGTTTGTTACAAACACCATAGCTTTCAACTACTTGCGTCGCAGCTGAAAGAAAGTTTAGCTCAGGCCATACCTCTGAAGCAAATCCTAAATTGCAGAGTCAGCTGGAGACTTTACACTTGATGATGGGCTGCTTAATTACTTCTGCTAAATTATTTATGCAAGGAACAAACTTATTCTCTAATTAGCCAGTCTAGTGCATTTGGAAGCATTTGTAGCACGCTCACGAACAGTCCCAGAGACAAATGAAGCACTGAAGCCATGACAGGAGTGAGCCAGCAGTAAATTACACCAACAAGTTGGAGTTAACTCTTTTTTTAAAGCAAAAACAGGATCTGCACAGGAGTGTGAGGCCTAAGGAGCACAGCAACCCATTTCCAGCAGGTCTTGCTCCCATGAAGCAGTTGCTGAAACTGAAGGTGCCCACCTCCCCACAGCTGCAGAAGTCCCCTCTTATCCAGGGTTTTCTCCAAACAATCTGATACTGCACCTGCGTGAAGCTAACTTTGCCTCCACTCTTTTTATGCCTCTTCTGGCTCTGGGAGACCAGTGGAGAGGGGAGCTGGTCACAGCAGGAGAGGGAGACACCCGTGCTTCTTCACCAGCCAGACTCATCTCTGCCTCTTGGCCTCCCTCCTCTCCAGCCTCCGCTTCTACCGCTGATTCTGGACTGCTTTCTGCCACCAACTCCCCCTGCTCACTAAGCACTGTTACCTCTTCAGCTTTTGACACCTCTTCCCAGTCTTCTCTCACTTCTCCCTCTGACCACTCATCGTTATTCCACCACCAAGCCCTCAGATCTGAGCCTTCTTTCATACTTCCTCCCACCATTCCTCTGAAGCCAATCAGTCCATGACAAGATGTCATGAATAATCATTATGTAGTCTCTGTGAGAGAGGATTTGGCTTTCTAAATCATTTAGTGTTTTGTTTTGTTTTTGCATATCACATTAAGCCGGCATTTTATTTTATTTTTTTAATTATGAATTTTTTATATAGATTTTCTGTCATACAACTGAAAAGAGAAAGAGAAATAATACATAACAGAAAAGAAACATTAAATCATTATACAATATCCCGAAAGAAAAAACATAAACAAAATAAAACAAACCCACCACCCTGTTTAGCTTCCTTCCACCGCTGCTCGTCTTGTGTAGAATCAATTTTACCCTTATCATTGCATTCTGATTTTTTAAAATTTTCTCTATATACATATATTTCTCTTTGATAGATTATTGTTTTGATGCATTTACATTCTTAGTCTAAGCATATTAGCATGTATTTTTAGAGCAGTATTTTGTCATATAATCATCAAAGCATTGCCATTCTTTTTTTATTTTTTTATTTGACTGCTGTCGTATAGATGCTGTTAAATTAGCCAATTTTAAATATTCATTTAATTTAAGAATCCATTCCTCCTTGGTAGGTAGCTCTTTAACTTTCCATTTAGATGCTATTACTATCCTAGCTGCGGTGGTCACATATAAGAAAATTCTTTTTTTCGATTTCAGTATTTCTTTTCCTAATAGGCCCGGTAAGTAAGGCTCTGGTTTTTTCGTTAATGGGATTTTAAGCATTTTTTTCGACTCCTCATGTATTTCTCCCCAGAAGTACTAAATTGGGGTGCAACTCCACCACATATGCATTGTTGTTCCAGCTTCCTTGTTGCATTTCCAACAGAGGCTGGATTTCAGTTTATAGATTTTTGCTAATTTGGTTGATGTTAAATACCACCTGTAGAACATTTTGATGAAATTTTCTTTTATTGTATTGCAGGCGGTAAATCTTATGTCTTCCTGCCAAAGTTTCTCCCATTGCTCTAAATATATTGTATGGCTGAAGTCTTGTGCCCATTTAATCATTGTCTCTTTCACTTCCTCATCAGTCATGTCCAGATCTAGCAAAAGGTTATACATTTTAGATAGTTTTTTTTTTTTAAATAGTTTTTCATACATTAATGAATTCTCTTTAGCGAAGCCTTTCTTCAAGTCTGAATTAAAGACACTTCCAAGTTTTACCATATATATTGCCATCTGTCGGAGACATAATGCCTTATTTCTTCATATGGTCTTATTCTTAATTTACCTTGATCTTCCATTATCAAATCTCTATATGTTGCCCATTCCTTGTTCATGTTTAGTTTTTTCATGGCATGGGCTTCTAGAGGTGAGAGCCACCATGGTATCATTAGCTCCAGTCTCAATTTGTACTTGTTCCAGACTTTAAATAATGCATTTCTAATTAAATGGCTGTTGAAATCTTTATGGGCTAAATCACTTAGTGTTAACCAGTCCTTTCTTTTTCAGATACAGTCGGTGCTAACCATTTCTTAAAAAGACACTTTCATTAGCTGTTACTGTATTTGAGCACTCACAAATAACCGGATGCTGTAGACCTAGTTAAGTCTCCTTGCTAGCATCAGTGAAACGGTTTGTTGCCACTGATGTGAACACTGTTTACTGCTGACCAATCTGTCCTGTCAATCACCATAGTCTTGTGGCAACTGAAAAACTGACAGATGTATTGTGTCGTTAGTCTTCATGGACTAGCATTCATCTCTATGACAAGTTTTGTTGTTGTTTAGTCGTTTAGTCATGTCCGATTCTTCGTGACCCCATGGACCAGAGCACGCCAGGCACTCCTGTCTTCCACTGCCTCCCGCAGTTTGGTCAAACTCATGCTGGTAGCTTCAAGAACACTGTCCAACCATCTTGTCCTCTGTCGTCCCCTTCTCCTTGTGCCCTCAATCTTTCCCAACATCAGGGTCTTTTCCAGGGAGTCTTCTCTTTTCATGAGGTGGCCAAAGTATTGGAGCCTCAGCTTCAGGATCTGTCCTTCCAGTGAGCACTCGGGGCTGATTTCCTTAAGAATAGATAGGTTTGATCTTCTTGCAGTCTATGGGACTCTCAAGAGTCTCCTCCAGCACCATAATTCAAAAGCATAAATTCTTCAGCAATCAGTCTTCTTTATGGTCCAGGTCTCACTTCCATACATCACCACTGGGAAAACCTTAGCTTTAACTATACGGACCTTTGTTGGCAAGGTGATGTCTCTGCTTTTTGAGATGCTGACAAGTTTACTGGTCCACAAAAGCTTATGCCTTAATAAAGTTGTCCTTGCTGGGGCTGATGGGAGCTGTAGCTGAACAACATTTTGGGGGCTATAGATTTCCCACACTTGCCCTAGACAATCTGAGTGTGGAGTACAAGCAGAGCATCCTCTCATCCCTGCCCTTTGAAAGCTGCTAAGCAGATCCTCCTCATAGTTCCATCAATTAATTATCCTGTCATGGACCTTCAGAATAGGACCTTCTTACCAGTTGCCCCAACCCCTCTGGGAGGCGGCATGCTTGGCTACTATCATTGGCTACTTTTAGAAAAGTAACAAAAACTCATCTGATAGTCTTTGAGACTATTATCTGATAAAACTGCTGCAGGCTGATTTTAGTTGTTGATTTTGTTCTTCTGCTTTATCAGTTACAAAGGTTGCATTGTCTCTTCCCCCCCACCCCCTTGCAAACTGCTGTATTATTATTTTTTTAAGCAACACATAACTATTGCAAAATAAATAAATCGAGGGAACCTGAACATATCTGGGGGAAAAGTACTTTTCACCGTTGGTGGATATTATGAAAGATTAGTGTCCACTGAAACATTAATGTCACTATAAACCAGCAACCTGCAAAATATCATTGTAAGAATCAAAGGCCCTTTTTTCCATTCTAAGAGCACAGAAAGTCTATTAAACCGGCCATGGCCAATTTGATTAGCAACTCCAGATTTCTTCCAAATGGTTTATGTATCTCTTGTTCCTTAAATCTAATGTTTCGTTTTGTAATTTGGTTCCTAATCTTCTCTTGATATGTTTAAACCAGGAAGAGAAGAGTACAATTTAATGATGCCCCATTATAAGGTAGCATTCTCATCCTATTCCATCCTCAACTTCCAAAAATTGAGATTTCAAATACTTGTTTCATGACTTTCTGTTTGTGGTTAGAACGTCACACACACACACACACACACACACACCATTTAGGCAGCCAGGGAAGGGGGCAGGCTCTGTCCCTGCCACTCTCTCTCTCAATCTCTCTCTCTCTCTCTCTCTCTCTCTCTCTCTCTGTGTGTGTGTGAGCCTGAAATGGGTTAAAGTCTGTGGTCATTGAATCTTGAAACCTCCCACAAATGATCACTCTTCTGCTTTCTATCACATTCATTGTTGTAAAAAACACACACCACACAATCAAGTTGAGCAACCATGTGTTTCTTCTTATTGCATGAATTATGCAATAAGACCCACATGGGAGGCCCAAGTTGTTAACCCGAATGCCTGCAGAGATATGTTGAAACACAAATATCTGCTCCTATGTATATTTTACAATTCTCCTCTATGAACTTCAGTGCTAGAAAGTTTGCTGACACTCGGGTTATATTTTAATTTTGGAAATGTGTATCTAGCTCAAGGCCACTTCTGCATTTTGTTCTGAAACAATCAAAATTCCCCTTTGCTCTTTTCTGCGCAACATTGCCAGCCTTCCTCAGATTTCCACCTACTGGTCACAGTTGAACTCATCCTCAAGCAAGACTGGGGGAAATGATGTCTTCATTACAATGACTCGCTGCATTTCCTTCCTCTACAGGTTTGCTGAACAGGCAGTATTTGTACTTTTCTGCTTATTCGCAATCCTGCTATTCTCCAGAGACCCTAAGTTCATCCCAGGCTGGGCGAGCTTGTTCACCCCAGGGTAAGAAATTTATTTCTGTATATTTCTGTCAGGCCTTTGTTCTCCATCCCCCCTTCCACACAAACACCCCCCTCGCACCAGCATTAATGTTTCATTTAAATGCTCATCTCAAGGGATTCTCTCAGAGTTTCTTTTTTGCCTGGGGCAGACATAGTATTCCCAGTCCCCTAACCTTGGGAGATGGTTGTGGCTGTGGGCCTCTTTGATCAGTAGTCAATCCATCAGTTATCAAGGGTTAAATTGAAGGTGGTTAACCTTCCTGAGAGACACATGCTTTCTCTTGCTTCTCTCTTCAGGTTGCATTTTCAAGGCTTACAGTTAGTTTTCTAGTAGAACAGTTGCCAGGTTTAGGACTGTAGCTCACAGATTTAAAAACAGATTTACAAATTGTGAGTGTATCTGAAGATAGATAGGGACATAGAAAGCTGCCTCAGGCTGTGTACACATTGCCGTTTAGTCTGGCTCTGGTGTGCTCCCACCTCTGTTTTTCTGAATTTGCATACACATCATATTACCCAAGATGCAGAGCTACCCTGTAGTTTCTTGAGAAATAGTACTGTTCCACAAACCAGCTTCAATCCAAATGGAGAACTCAAGGCCACATTCACATCACAGTTAAGCTGAGGTGTGTACATTTGGGAGTGCCATTGCACATGTGCAGATGACAGCAGAAACTGAACAGGTTATGTGCCTTGGGTGAAGACACCCCTGCTCTTTCTCTGGTGCGTACAGTCATGTGTAAATGTGACTTGAAACACATTGGGGGAATCAACCTCTAGAATGGTTTAAGCCACTAATGTGTACATACGACTTTTGCACTGAGTCAGACCATTGGTCCATCAAACTCAGTATTGTCCACATTGACTTGCAGTGGCTCTCCAGGGTTTCAGACACAGAGAGTTGCATCCACGCTTCCATCTGACCCACTGCTTCCCCCATAGGAAACCTACGGTTTAGCACTGAATCGGAACCAATGGCAATTGGGCCTTCTGCGGATTGCTGTTTGTTCCGATTTAGCACTAAAGAGCGAGTCTTCTGGGGGAAGGCAGTGGGCAAAGGAAACATCACTCCTCACCTAGAAAGCATGGGACAAGTGGAAAACTGTTAGGACCTGTGTTTTCTAGGCATGGGAGGGGTAGAATTGTGGACGAGCCCAGTGTATTTCTTAGCACTCCCTGGTGATTCCAGGAATTGAGGCTAGGATATCTGCATGCAAAGTCACTGACCTTGGTCTCCTTTGACAAATGTTTCTTCTCTTCCACCACTTATTCTTGAAATTCTCCCTCCCTCCCTGTTAGGTTTGTCACCGATGCTGTTACTGGAGTCACAATAGTGACAATATTGTTCTTCTTCCCATCGAAAAAGCCATCCCTTAAATGGTGGTTTGACTTGAAAGGTAAGTTTCTGGCTTTCGAAACCCTTTGACCCAGTTTCTTCTGCTTTCTGTAGAATTGACTAAAAACTAGCCTTCAACAAGCACTAGGTACAGGGTCACCAGGTCACCATTTCCTGAATGACTCACCCATAGAGGAGCTTAGAGAACAATCTTACAATGAAGAGAGCGGAGAAATAAGACTCATCTGCTGGCTGCTGATGTCCCAGTGGATCCCAACCAAGCATTAAAATACTCATCCCCTTTTCTTTTTAGAAAAGGGACACAGATATTCATCCTTTTCTGGTGCTGATTGGGAGATTCTCTCCCTGCTTAACCAAACACCACCTGCCTCCCATCTATACGTTCCTGGTGTTATCTTTTCTGCCTGTGAAGTGCTTCATGGTACGAAATAAACCAGTGTGCTCGCAGACATCTGGAACATTGGTACACAGATGAAGTTAAAAACCTGGAAGATTATGTGACTTGCTTGCTGTTCAACAAAAGCACACCATACGAGGACTTGAGCAATTGCAAGGAATAGCTCTATGAAGGGTTAAGAGAGAAAAGTGGAAGCTATCTCTTGTTCAGCCTTCATGTGTTAATAAGGCCTCTCTTGTGAAATAGGGTACCTTGCTTTGCAAAAAAAAATCCTTTTATGACCTTTTATGGATGAGATCTGGGTTTTCCTTTACCATACATCTCACAATCTTTGAGCTGCGAGTAGAAAATTAACGTTGCAGTTAACTTAGATCCAAAGTGCAAATGAAAGGGGGAGGGGGACTTCCAAATGTTGCTGGACTACAGCTCCCATCATCCCTAACCATTCCCCTTTGCTGGCTGGGTCTGATGGGAGTTGGAGTCCCACAACATCTGGTGGACCACTGCTTCCCCCTCCCTGCCTTAGGCTGCGATCACAAAGTTTGCTAATCTCTCTCTGTGTTCACAAACCTCTTTGTCTAGCGCCGAACACAGAGAACCAGCCCTTGCTGACTTGGAGAAAAGCCCAGGAAAGTGTACCATGGAATATAATCCTATTGCTTGGAGGAGGTTTTGCCATGGCAAAAGGATGTGAGGTATGCTTGTTAGAATGCAGCCTGTCAAAAAAAATAATAAATGCACCACTTTCCTTCTTTTCTAAAGGGACTGGGTTGTTGTTGTTTTTTAGGGCACCTGTCACGGACTGGCTGGATGCAGAGGAGTGGTGGGAGGCACTAGCTGGGGAACCCCCAAGGGAACCCCCGGGGGAAGAAGGCTCAAAGCCAGGGGATTGTTGGTGGGACAGCAATGAGTGGTAAGAGGGAGAAGAGGGGGAGAGCAGACTGGGAGGAGGAGGTAATGGAAGCTGAAAAGGCAACAGGGTTTAGTGAGCAGGAAGGGGCTGTGACAGAGGGCAGTCCAGAATCTGAATCTGAAGCAGAGGCTGGAGAGGAGTGGGGTTAGGCTGCTGAAGAAGCCAGGGAGCCTGCCCCTCCTGCTGTGACCAGCTCCCCTCCACCCTAGTCTCCCAGAACACTGAGAGGAATGAAGAGGGCAGAGCAAAGAGAGATAAGGCGAAGGAGCCTTAGGTTCCTGGGAAAGGAGCTGGGGGAGGAGTTTTCAAGAGCGGTGGGAGCTACAGTCCTTGCAACTGTCTCCTTGGGGGCAAGACCTGTGCTATGTTGGTTTCTTTGAATTAAAGAGTTAACTTCTCTGAAACCAGGTGTTTTATTGCTGAGCTGCTCCAGACTTTGGCTCCATGACAGCATCATTGCAATTCATGATGCTTGATTACTGCAGAATAAGCTACATGCTACTTTGCATGCATGTTTGCATTCATGTGTGTGGCTAATTCGGAGCATGACCAGCTCTCTTTTTTTAACCATTCTTACACACATACACAATGTTCTGGAAAATGGCCGCTTACCTGGAAATCTTGAGAAGTGATGGTTTGTGGACTCAGCATGGCTGCAGTGTGGCCCAGAGCCATTTTACATCAATGGTCGTTGAGGGAATGCTTGCTTCTTCCCACCATGGCCATGGGTCAGCTGACCGGGGACCATTTTCAAAAGAGCCTATCAGGAGGCTGCCTGGAGTTGAGGTTGTGGCAGCGGTCCTCAACCTAGGGCCAGCTCAGCCCTCTCATCTGCCAGTTGGTGGGCTGTTTGATGCCAGATACATACCCAATGCCTTCGCCAAAGTCTACTTAAAATGTTGTGGCCTACTTCAACCCAAGTGGAGGTTTCTTCCTGTGGTAAATGTTAGCTTTGGTGTGTGTGTGAGGGGGTGATTTTAATCAAGACTAGAGCCAATCTGTTGCTCCCACCAGCCTGTTTGCACTGCACTGCTATTGACAGGAGATCAGATAAGCCCCACAGACGACTACTGCATTTAATGTAATGTGTAGTGGCCTAAGTGCTAAAGCAAGCAATACTTTCAGACGTGGTGAGTTGATTTGCATGCTCATTTTCATATGCTAAAGTGGCCAAGTAGTGTTTTCACATTTTGTCACCCTAGGAAACATTACGAAACCAGGGTTTTCCAGGATGTGGCCATAATCTTAGTATCCTCGCAAGGCCAAATTCACCACATAGCATGAGGAGAAAGTCATCTTGTGGTGAATGTTCAGCTTCAAAAATGGTCATGGGAGTTGGCTTTCATTTGCAGTAGATTTGTGTTTTAAGAGGACAAATGCCCCACAGCTCATACAAGCTGACAAAACTACTGCAGAGGAAGCTCTCTTATGCTGTGATAGCTTGACCATTGGTACCATACTGCCAGTGCTAAGGAAGATTTCCCCCTGTATGGAGCATATATGTGGTAGTTTGGGTATTAAAATGGCTCCTGGGGGAGGGTAAATTTCAACTGCAAGTGAAATGATCTGTTCCTGAGTTATCATCTCATGACAAGAGCTGAAAAACACAGGAAAGAATCAGCCACCATAGAATCACTTGTGCAAACTGTGATTGTTTTTATATGTTTGTTTTTAGTATGTTGTTGTTTTATTTTTTAATCATATTGTTTTAACAATGTTGTATTTGCTGCCCTGGGCTCCTTTAAGAGGATGGGTGGGCTTTAAATTTAACAAACACATATTTTTTCTACCCTGCTATAGGAGTCTGGCTTGTCTGTCTGGATTGGAGGCCAGCTTGATCCCCTGGAGAACCTCCCTCCTGCTGTTGCTGTTATTCTCATTACGGCAGTGATTGCGTTATTCACAGAATTTGCAAGTAACACAGCCACAATCATAATCTTCCTGCCTGTCCTGGCAGAACTGGTAAGGGGCATATGCATACCTTTCAACCAAGGGGTTAAGTTAAAGGTATGAATGTGAATGAATGTTTATTATTACAGCCAAACAACCAAGCATACTAAGTTAAGGGTAGAGTGGCCATTGCTGCTAGAGAGAGAGAGAGAGAGAGAGAGAGAGAGAGAGAGAGAGTGGTAATTTATATATGTTGATTTATATGTATAGATGCAGATTTAGACATAATTACTATAATGTAAATAGAAATTAATCTCACCATAGCGGGGAAGATTTGACCTGGGTGACCAGCATGCCTGTTCTGTCTGCTATCCAAGTGCAAATGGGCTCCTCCTGCTCTTTCTTCTTATGGTTCTTTGAACTGGACTTGGGCAGCACAGCTCTTCAAATAAGGGACACCTTTGAGTAGAAGACTCTTTAAATAACTCTTTAGATATAAGGTATTCCTTAGCAAGTTGAACACATGGCTCACCCTAATCTTGGGTGGTAGGAAGAAGGTTGGCCTATATCATCATCATCATCATCATCATCATTACATCCCACCCTTCACTCAAAGATCTCAAGGCGGTGTACATTTGGTTTCTCTTCTGCATTCTGTCCCTCATTAACAACAACTCCATGTAGAGTAACTAGTGGGACACTCAAAAGTACTTTTCAGCTTTACTTCTGAAAAATATTACTAGGCTGACAACTCAAGGCGGACAGCCAGCTTTTGAACCCACAGACTCCACATGTACTATTCTCAGTGAACAGCATGCCCTCTTCTGACCTGCTTATTCTGCCTGAGGAAACTTCTGGACTCAGCTGAATAGGATTTTGTGTTATGATTGGGCTTCCTTCCACAATTCCCCATATTCAGATAGCCAGAAATAAGACTCCGTGTGCCTATTTCAAGAAGGCTCTCTCTCTCTCTCTCTCTCTCTGTGTGTGTGTGTGTGATGGAAAACAAGTCTCCAGTGGCCTGTTTCACACAACACGATAAACCAAACTTTGGTTTACTGGGACCACACAAACATGCAACTTGCTGGAGAGGAGCTCACAGCTTTACTCCTCCCTAGCCTGTTATTACTCCCACACTGCGGACCTTAAGTTGTTCTTGGACACTAGTTCCTATCAGCCTCAGCTATCATCGCCAGTAATCAGGGATGATGGGAGTTGTAGTCCAGCAACATTGAAAAAGATGCAGGCTCCTCATTCCTGGTCCAGCATGTTCTACCAGGATCATCTAGAGCAGGTGTTGGGAAACCTTTGACTTTCCAGATGAACTGCAACTACCATCAGCCCCAGCAATCATGACTAATGGGCAGGGTTGATGGGAGCTGTAGTTTAGCAACATCTGGAGGGCCAAAGGTTTCCCATGCCAAATCTAGTGGAAGCTTTCAGAAGAAACTATGATCACACAAAAACTTCTTTGCAGTCTTTTCAAGAATCTCATGAGATGCTTACAGTTCAGCTAATAAATCATAACGCACGCACCCCTTTTGTTTTTTTTAAGGCCATTCGTCTGAAAGTGCATCCCCTCTACTTAATGATACCAGGAACCATAGGATGCTCATTTGCTTTCATGCTTCCAGTCTCTACACCCCCAAATTCAATTGCCTTTGCTTCTGGGCACTTACTGGTTAAAGATATGGTAAGTAATTTTACATAGTAATCACGATCAATAGCTTAATTATCTAGAGCAGGAGAAGGCCATGGAGGTGAAGAAAGGGTGTTCAACTCTCTCCCCCTGCCAAACTTCCCCAAAACAGCCCCTCTCAGGACCTGCTATTGTATTTCAGGGGAAGCTCCCCTTGGTTCCAATGGAGGCTTCCCTTGAGATGCAAACAGCAGCTTCAGTCGGGTTCTGGTTTCCCTTTGGCTGCTATTTACATAATAAAAAGGCATGTACCTTACTTGCATTCATGCAAGTGATGGCATGTCTAATGTGGCATGCCCTATCCAACTATTTGTGCCCAGGAGGATGGACGTCATCAAAACATCAAACTGTTTATTCTTGCTGCAGTCACAGTAAATTATTGTTGGGTCTTCCAGCAGTAAGTTAGCACCAAATTATGTCTGGTCAACTGTAGAAGCACACTGGATGAAACACACATCTCTGCCACCACTTTCACAAGGTCTTCATTCCTTTCCAAAATGTGGGCAGAATATTACTAAATTTTAGGTTTGTTTGTTTTTGAAGGAATTGCTTAGCTGTGGGTGGGTGGCATTAGCAAGTTCAGCTGCATGACAACCATTTTGAAAGTGGAGCTGAGAGGAACTGAGAAGGGGCAAATTCTGTCACTTAGTTCGCTATCCACTTCCTCTCAACTTTGTTTTCAAAATGGCAGCCAGGCTAACAATCTCTCAGCTCAATCTACAGTGAGGGCAATGTCTTGGATTCTAAAGAACAGCAGACCAGGGGCTATGGTCCACCACCTTTCCCCAAATTTGCTCCTGAAAAACCTTGAAAAAAAAGAACAAAACAAAACCCTGAATGTTTTGCTGTGATGAACATTCAGTGCAGACCTAAGTAGGAGCCTATTCAGCAGCAAAGCGCCAATATTCATATGTGTCTAAGACCAAGGGTACTTTCAGATTGGGGCTTAACACTGTAAATGGTTAGGTGAGATATTGCCAACAGGACCCTGTCAACAGGCTTTGTAAATAGCTAAACAAATAACCCATAATGGATTTCACCTGGAAAGAGTAATTCCAGTTTTTGGGGGGAGGTGGGGTGAGATTCAGGCTGGCTTTTTGATGTCAATGACATCATTTGGACACTGCAATAAACTTACATCCATGAGGAGCACCGATGCCACAATAATCACCCACCTGGAAGCACCCATAGCAGTTTTTCAGTACTACAGAAGAAATTGGGAATTAGGTGTGAACGAAATTTTCAGTTTTTAAGGTTCAGTAAGGTTTGCTCACAAATGTGAGGGCTGACAATGGAAAAGTTAATCCTCGTGTTTGTTGGCAAGCTTCTATATTTATTCTGTTCAAAGAACATGATTCCAGCAGAGAACTAACAAGAAATTGCAGTCTCACCCCTGGCTCCTTGTCACTCTTCATTTGCTTTCAAGTTTCCAGGGCTTGAGGGTATGAACTAACCAAAGCCTTGTTTAAAAAGAGGTGGAAAACAGGAATTTACCAATTATTCCAAATGAATTTTTTCCAAGCAGATCACCAGCAGATATTGCAGAAGAACTTACATCTTCTCACTTACTGTCACCTAAAAAGCGTATTACACTCATATTCTCATTGGTTACATTTCTGTCCTGTTATCAGACTTTGAAACAGCATGGAATTCCAGCACTAGAATTTTCTTGACTTCTCTGATTGGGTATGAGTTATTTGTCCAAACATGCTTAGAACAATTTCACTGATGGTTTTCATTCAGGAAGAGGCCTAGACGAAGGAAGGTTGGAAGAAATTGCAACATACTACCTTAGGAGAGATAGAATGCACATTTATAATTTAGTTAAACAGTCAAAGACAGGTAGGGAGGATCTGTCAAAATCTCCTTTGCAGCTTTACCAGCTTCCCTTTGAAGCAGGCTCTCTTTCTTTAAAGAGGATGGGATTTGTAAACCCCAATGCATTGTTCTCCATTATACAAAACCATTCACCCAGAAGGCAGGTTTAGCTCTAATGAATTTACAGGAGGGTAGAGGCTTGTTCAGGGACACGGGTGGCACTGTGGGTTAAACCACAGAGCCTAGGACTTGCCGATCAGAAGGTCGGCGGTTCGAATCCCCGCGATGGGGTGAGCTCCCGTTGCTCGGTCCCTGCTCCTGCCAACCTAGCAGTTTGAAAGCACGTCAAAGTGCAAGTAGATAAATAGGTACCACTCTGGCGGGAAGGTAAACGGCGTTTCCGTGCGCTGCTCTGGTTCACCAGAAGCGGCTTAGTCATGCTGGCCACATGACCCGGAAGCTGTATGCCTGCCCCCTCGGCCAATAAAGTGAGATGAGCGCCGCAACCCCAGAGTCAGTCACGACTGGACCTAATGGTCAGGAGTCCCTTTACCTTTACCTTTAGAGGCTTGTTCAGAGAAACTTCTTGACAGTTCAACAATGGAACCGATTACTTAGAAGGCTTGTGATTCTCTCTTCCCAGAGGGGAGGCTGTCTTTGGACAGCCACTTTGGAAAGCTTTGCGTTTTCTGCATCACACAGCAAACGGTTGGGCTCTATGATGTCGCAGATCATCATGATCTCTAAATCTGTTCCACCCCTCGTGGGCTTCTTCCACAGGCAAGGACGGGTCTGCTTATGAATCTGATGGGAGTTTTGTTTCTGAGTCTGGCTATCAACACTTGGGCCACGAGCATCTTTCAGCTGGGCAGCTTCCCTGACTGGGCCAACATCCATTCAGAAAACACGACCCTGCTGGTGGATGTGCAGAACGTCACTCTAAACTCAATGAGTAAATTATGAACAGGACAACCTTGTTGCGGGAGGAGCGCTCCCCCTTCAAATTTGGGCACTGAATTAGATCCACAGCAAGTACAAGAACGCACAGGTGATGGCGTCGTTGATGCCCCTCCTTATACAGGACTGCCATGTTCCTTTTATGTTTGTTTTTATAAATATTCGTGAGTACTCACTGGATAATTGTTTTGTGCCTTGGAAGAGTCTCTCCACTTTCATGCCAAAAACCTCCCATCAGGCAGTTCTTAGGTAGGTTTAGACCTTAGTGCTGCATTGAATTCCACCCTTTGAGTGTGAATCCTAGGACACTGTGTGTAAATAAACTGCAAGCCCTCTGCAAATAGCTGCAGCGGATTCAGTGAAAAACTGCCAAGTCAGGAACACTATTAATACACATATTATACCCAATCAGATCATATCCATTATTCAAACATCATGTCTTGTTAGACCTTGTACAACCATGATACTAAAAACTGGCTATAGTGGTCTGTAGCCCAGATACTCACACAAAATGCCCCATAGCCAATGGAATATTGGAAGATGCCTTATATGGACCAAAGAATGAATGACAAGAATAAATTAGTAATGAAATTCACATATAAGGATACAAAACAATATGAAACTATGTTTCAATGGAATAAATAACCAATGTAAAACCTGAATATAAGCAGAAGCAATAAACCACCCAGATATCAGTGATAAACAATCCCAAATGCATATGTTGTAGAATACTACATAATCCAAATACTATATAGCAGTAGAACTGCAGGTGAATGATGAAAATTCACTGGGATGAAGGCTGATGTTTTAACCATGGCCGTAGCAGATCCTTCCCCGGTACTGTGATCCAAGCTTATAAGCTTGCCTCATTTTAAAGTGGTACATATGTCTAGACCTATCTGTATTCATTCTACAGCTTACAAAAAATGAAGTAAGAACAGTGGGAATGACTACTCCAGAGAAGTATATTGGTGACAACACAGGTGCTAGCCAGTAGGTGCTCTCCATAAGTAGCTTTGCCTATGTTCAGAACCAAACCAAACCAAATATACAAACTTGGCTTTTCAGAGGTCATTCTGGGACAGAAAGACATGTGTTCACACGGCCCATTGGAGGGCACTTCTATACTGACACCGCCGCTCTTAAATGTTACATCTGTCTTCATCCTGAGTGGGCTTAATCTTTCACTCTAAGGCAGCTCTAGCAGCCACAAACAAATGGGAAGGGTTGTGACCTACCTCACAGGGTTGTTGTGGGGATGAGTGATATAATGGTGGTAGAAGTCTGAAGGGTTGTAGAAGTGATAAATACAAGTCACTCAGCTGCTGATGCCAACTTGAGAATTGTGGATAAGTGATGTGAATATGCACCCTTAGCTGTGTGAAATATGTCTCTCTATATTGGTCTTAACTATGCAAACCTTAAAAGTCTAAACTGTGGTGACTGGCATGCCAACCAGAGATGTGCTAATTTAGTGGACATTTCCAGAGGATTATTATTGTTGGGATTTAAGGGGGGAGGGGTTGATTCTTTGATTTCTTTTTATATAAAACTGATTATTTGGGTACTTTCAATGAAAGTGTTTGTAAATGGACAGTGATTCTAATCACCTCTGTAATGCAAATTCTACCTGTGTGTTTGTAAGAAATGGACTTATTGTTAATGAAATATCACTGCTGAAAGCATGTTTTGAAAGATACGACACTGGAAGTTGCGTTGGGGCTGGGGCTGGGGAGGAGGCTTAAAAGCGAATTCTTGATGTGATGCAGAAGGAAAGATTCAGTGGCTTTGTAATTCTGCTGCCTTGCCTTATTCAGGATCTGTTCCTGGACCACAGCTGGTGAATACAGCCATTAGATCTACATCTCTCTCTCTCTCCTTCTCTTTAATCACAGTTGCTGCTGCTTTGAAAACCGCATTAAAATTGCATCATGGATACAAGTGTAACCAGAGGTCAAGCCAAAAGCACAAAAAATGCATCATCAACTAAGCACCATCAACTAAGATCACTCTTTGCTGCCCAAGCCTCACCATTATGAGAATTGAAAATGCAATGCATTTATCAGCCTCTTTCTTGCACTATTAATATCTACACTTCTTAGTCTTAGGGAAAGTGTGGCGCTTATGTCTCTCCTGCTGTACATTGTCATGGGTTCGTGAGCATTACAGGAGACATTACTCAAAAAGAAAGGTATCCCAATGGAAAATGTAGGATGTAATCCTATGCAGACTAGGTAAAGGGACCCCTGACTGTTAAGTCCAGTCATGGACGACTCTGGGGTTGCGGTGCTCATCTCGTTTTACTGGCCGAGGAAGCCGGCGTTTGTCTGCAGACAGCTTCCAGGTCATGTGGCCAGCGTGACTAAGCTGCTTCTGGCGAACCAGAGCAGCGCATGGAAACGCCGTTTACCTTCCCACCGGAGCGGTACCTATTTATCTACTTGCACTTTGACGTGCTTTCAAACTGCTAGGTTGGCAGGAGCAGGGACCGAGCAATGGGAGCTCACCCCATCGCGGGGATTCGAACCGCCAACCTTCTGATCAGCAAGCCCTAGGCTCAGACTTTGTTGTTGTTTAGTCATTTAGTCATGTCCGACTCTTCGTGACCCCATGGACCAGAGCACGCCAGGCACTCCTGTCTTCCACTGCCTCCCGCAGTTTGGTCAGACTCATGTTTGTAGCTTCGAGAACACTGTCCAACCATCTCGTCCTCTGTCGTCCCCTTCTCCTTGTGCCCTCCATCTTTCCCAACATCAGGGTCTTTTCCAGGGAGTCTTCTCTTCTCATGAGGTGGCCAAAGTATTGGAGCCTCAGCTTCAGGATCTGTCCTTCCAGTGAGCACTCAGGGCTGATTTCCTTAAGAATGAATAGGTTTGATCTTCTTGCAGTCCATGGGCATAAATCATGCTGACCTTCTGAATAAACATGCATGGGATTGAGTAGATAGTTGGCCAAGCCATTGAAACCATTGTATTAAAGTGTATAGTGGCATTGATAGCTTTTAGGACAACTTCGCAAAGGTCCATATCTATTTTGGGTTGCAATGGCAGCAGGTCCATTGGGGGCCTCAGTCTATTTTTAGCCAGCCAGCCTAGGTCCTTACTTAGAACCAGATCGGGGGGCAGCACTGCCTGGCAGCTTTCTCCCCCACCTTTGTCTCATTGTTTCCCTTTGTAGAAAGCAGCAGGGAGAAGGAGGATGGGGACAAAATGAGAAAGAGTTGGCTCTGCCTCTTATTTGTTCTGGCTACACCTGTGGTTTGGGCTCCATATCTTCTACCCCACTAGCCCCAATGTCTACCAGATGCCACTGTTAGCTTTCTACCTTTGTGTGACCAGCCCTGCCGCTATGCCCTAGGCAGCAGGAATTTAAGCAGGCATAATTTTCCAGGAATAGGGTGTATGATAGGACATAACCCACTTTTTGAATTACAGGTATCAGGCTGCAATTAAAAGCACGGGGGCAAGACTAGAAAATCTACAAACTTCCTTTCTGTCTTGTCCCGTCTCCCCCAAGATTCTTCTATGTCCTTCAACAGTGGCCAGTGCCTGCTACTGCTACTTCATTTTAACTTTCATTTGGGAATATTCTCTTTCTTCCTTTTCTAATGGTTGTTTAGTCATTCCAAACTCTCAATTGCCCAAGCGCCTGGTAATAGTGCACAGCTGCAGAGGCAGATATATCCAGGAAGAGGATATTGTAAGTAGTATGATTATAGCCCTCCTAAATCTTATACTTTAGGTATTATCAAAATCCAATAATTGTCATGCAGACAACACAAAGGTATGATTCAACACACACAAACCTCCTGTTTAGCAGATTTAATATATCCGCCCCAAACCTAGGTGATAATCTAAAGTGGTTATAGGGATAAGGCATTTGAGTTGTAATGGAAATGCCAGTTTGCCATTATCATTGTTTTGACCCCGGAGCGCACATGAAGAATTACGACTTGGTTTTATGCTGGGGGTGACTAACCCCTAGTTTAGGGAGCTGATTTGTCCACCCACCCCAAATTTTCTGCCACCACCAAGACCATGCCAATTTTGGTGGTGGTGGTGGGGGAACCATCTTCTCCCAACCATCAGATTGATCATTTGATGAGTGAAAGGGGGGGGGAATAACCCCTCTTAGATCTGTCTGAATTAGCTAAAGAGGCAGACATCTTCATGTGTGCATGCAGAAATGCAAAGTGGTCACAACCACCGCCGACATGCCCCTCCAGGGGTTGGCCAAGAGGAGATGCAACCCTTGTTAGCCCTCCCTGTTTTATAAAGTGCCCGTCAGTGTTCATTATGCAATTACCCAGATAATTCAGGGCCCTCTGCCACACCACCATGTGCCTATCTACACGTGTTATGTACTGAGTTGAATAGGATCCAAAATGCAGCAGTCTGATTGGTCCTAGAACAATAGGATCCAAAATGCAGCAGTCTGATTGGTCCTAGAACAATGCAGCAGTATGATTGGTTTGCAGGAGCCACCCAATCCAGCTCCAGGTGGAAGTGAATCCACAACCTGATTGGCCTACTGGAGAATCCCAGAATTAGCCAATCACATGCAGCCCATTGTGTAAATAATGTATATAAAGCAGATATTGTGGGGGAACTTCCATTCCTCCTCACCGCTATGAGCTGAATAAAGAGCATGAAATCCACTCTCGAATAAGAAAAGCCACAACATAGCCTGCCCCTAGCAGCCCTCTTAGCTCTTCTTGGGGTCTTCTCATCAGAGGAGAAACTCCACGAGCCCCATGCCATTGTTCCAGATGGAGTCAATGCTCTGGCTGCTGTGCAAAGGATCAGGAGCTTCTGCCCTGACTGGGAACAGATTGAGCAGGAACATTATAGTAGCTGTGACTGACATCCATAATGGGAAGACACAAAGCTTATTTGACAGGCTCCTCTGCTTTTTGTAAAGCCTCCCAGCTGGATCCTCTTTTGCAAAGGTTCTCAAAGCAAAGGATGCAGCGGCAAACAGAGCTAGATGATGAGGATGTCTGTGTA